AGGAGCCTCCTGCTGCGCAGCAGCTCTGAGCTATCCAACTTCCTTGTGGGACTTCAGCGTCTGCTGCGCTAAGTTTGGGCTCCCTCGACCCAGTTTACGAAAATGGCCTCCTGTCCCACCTTGCTTCTCATCCACTTAAAACCGTTATGCCGGGGCCCCTCATTGGTCAAATAGGGTCTTCTTCAGCAGGACTCCCGCATACTTTTATCGTTGGAGCCTATTCCCGGGCATTGCTGCATTGCGTTGTCTGGCGTGATTGGGGCTATTGACCGCATCATTGTTTTTGATCACGTGGGTTTTACCTATGATGGCACACCAAGGTTTGCACAAATTCCAGGATGGGCAAGAACGTGCTTCACCCAGCCTGCCCAAAGACAGTGTAGTTGACCGCCCACCCTGCGTTCTCGGAGGTGCCGACCCTGGCTGAAGAGACACGAAAGGGTGGACTGGGGCTCAAATAAATGGTGTCAGGCTGCGTCAGGTCATCCAAGAGTGCAATAGGTTCTCTTACCTTAGCCCTTAGCGTACCTCTGTCTCAAGGTGCTGCTTGGCGTCGCTTCGGGCACCACGGATGCTGGTGCACTGCTAGCTTGTGTTCGTGTGGTTCCGGATGCCGTTGGGGCTGTTTCGGGGCGATTCGGGTCCGCGCTGGGGCCGCTTCGGTGCGATTCAGGTCCGTGCTGAGGCCGCCTCATGGTGTTCGATGTCCGTGCTAAGGCCGCTTCATGGCGTTCGGTGTCCGTGCTGAGGCCGCCTCATGGTGTTTGGTGTCCGTGCTGAGGCCGCCTCATGGTGTTCGGTGTCCGTGCTGAGGCCGCCTCATGGTGTTCAGTGTCCATGCTGAGGCCGCCTCATGGCGTTCGGTGTCCGTGCTGAGGCCGCCTCATGGTGTTCGGTGTCCGTGCTGGGGCCGCTTCATGGCGTTCGTTGTCCGTGCTGAGGCCGTTTTTGGACGTTGCGAGTCCAATTCGGGGCGTTACGAGTCCGTGCGGGCTGTGTCAGAGCTGCGTCTTGCCAGGGCCGTATTGAGACCCCGCCAAGCTGGGAACGTGCCGTGCCCGCACCCCAATAGGGCCGTACAGAGCGCTAGTGAAGCCGATCTTGGACGGCACTGGGATCGTGGACGCCGTTTTGCTTGAAATGCGGCATTACGCAAGCCCTGGCGGTACCCTGCCCACCAGGTTTTCACGGGTTTTCCTGAAGACCGACAGCGGACGCCTCGACAGGCCTATGATCGAAGTCAGGAAGGAAGCGGCCGGGGTCATCATCTGGTCCTCAAATCAATAGCCATCAGCACAGTGTTGCCCCGATGGTGTGCTTTCCAGGTAGGCGGTGGCTGGGGCTCAGCCAGGGCATCCAGCGGTCCGACCGATGAGCATGCGGACGTGTGGTGTGACGCCACAAAAGCCGCGCCTATGCCGGCTCATCGTGGTGGTCAGATGGTAGCTGGTCAAAAGAACCGGAATGAAACGGGGACGGATGTGTTGCTGCTTTTGCAAGTTATTGCCTGGCAAAGTTACATTCGGTTTTTTCATCGCTGGGTAAGTTACGTTGTGCGCAAAGTTGGTCGATGAAAATAAAATGCTTTGCCTATACGGATCGAGAATGATGGTCAAAAGCAGATAGCTTTAGGAAATTCTCCCCAAGTCATCGCGGCGAAAAATGAGGTGAAACTGACGTAAGACGTGTCCGATGAGACCTACATGGAATGAAGAGCTTTAAGAAGGTAGGTGGTGCCAGTCGATCAGAATCTTCTGTTTGACATGCTATGACAACCTGGAAAGTCACATTGGCTTGCAAATATATCGACGCGCTGTAAATGACCTTTCGATGGTCAAAGGTCATTGAAAAGATCAGACGGTGTGACGTAATTCATGGGCTGGAGATCGTTGAAAGGAAGCTTTGGAAATCCAACAACTACTCAAAAGGACGGCGAGAGCTTCCAGCGTTGTTATGAATCTGGAAGCTAATGTATAGGTAGTGGACATGAGAACTAATATACGGAGAAAACGTTGTTTGTGGCAAGATAAAAAGCAAACTTAGATGAACTGCAGATAACATATATTTCCAATTGCTCAGTTTAGGCCATACAAGCAATGAGGTCCAGTTTGTAGGTAGGCATCCATTCCATTCTGCGGTATCCGCATATTCTATTTCGGTTAAGATTGATCGCGGACACATAACACGGCCGATATGTGACGGCGTACTGGCCACCCGAATTATAGACCCATGTTTGTGTCGCTGAAATCTTCTTGATCAAGAACGACTGGCAATGGCTGCGTCCGCCTCGCTCCACTTCACCATTTCCGAATATCCGCCTCTTCAAAGCTGGCAAAGACCGTTGCGTCGAAGAATTCCCAGATCTTGACGCCATTCTCGTCCAGGATGTATTCTTGACAGCTTCGATTTCCTAGTCTGAAGGCAGGGGATAACGTTGTCACACATTTCCATCAGATGAGCCACTCGATACATGTAAATTTAGAGTCGCTAGAGCAAATTGAACCCGCGCACATATGACTCCTGAGTTATATATGATTTATATGACATATAAACTGACTTTCGTCAGTTTATACAGTAAATATCAGGCGGTATCAGCGCATGCCTGTGATAATGCGCCCACGGTGTCACCTAAGCGGACAAAACTTATGCGTATCCAGCTCCCTGTATGACGCCGGAGTCATTTTTCCCGCACTCACCCGACGTAGCGTACTCACCTGGCGTGGCGGACCCACCCAGCGTAGCGCACTCGCACAGTGTAGCGTACTCACCCGGCGTAGCATACCCACCCAGCGTAGCGCACTCGCCCAGTGTAGCGTGCTCACTGGGCGTAGCGCACTCATTCAGCGTACGCGCTCATCCAACGTAGTGCACTCACCCAGCGTAGCGCACTCACCCAGTGTAGCGCACTCACCCAGCGTAGCGCACTCACGCGGCGTAGCGCACTCACCCAGCGTAGCGCACTCACGCGACGTAGCGCACTCACCCCGCGTAGCGCTTGCAGCCGACGATGGGGAAGTCCTTCCTGTAGCACTTAACCTGCAGAATGTTATCGAAGAGCACGCCGACCGTGGAGGCCACGGGCGAGTTCAAGTCCCTCAGACACTGGGTCAGTCTCTCGTCACAGTCGCAAGAACACCTGGCGAAGCACGGGGTCATGGGTCATGATGACTCTGCCGACAGCCGCTGACCGTGCCCGGCGACCTGGCCGCCGAAACAGGACATCGTGACAGCGCGCTGACAAACACTACGGGACTCCATCCGCGCGCAGACAATCCTGAAGTCGTGCATCAGTCCGCGCAGAAGGCGCCTGCAGTGTCAGATCCGTGA